GTCACACAGGGTCTCTATGAGTCAGAATAGGCTTCATGGCATACAACAACGACAGAAATCAAGGAACCACCTCCCAGAAAGGGCAGAATTGATTTTCTTCCCACGCTTTCGACACTTGAAACTTCATGTTGTAATGATTTCATTTTTGCCATCTAGTGGTCATCTCTCCCCGACTCAGTGGGGGCTGTCTGGAGTGAAAATGGTAGACAGTCCTCCTGGGTCCAGTGGAGGGCCTGCTGCAGGTATTCAGGACATGTGTGCAGGGAAGATGCCATGGCTCCCCAGGAATGCACAGAAACCATCTACTTTCAGGTCAAGAAAACGACATATTCCCCCTTGAGTTACTCCAAGGAAGATGTGTGCAGAGTCCCCTATATTTGGTAGTCACAATGGTCAGAAAGTCTTTCTAGTGCTTCTTCAAAGTAACATGTTGTTGTTGTTGTTGTTATGTGCCGTCGAGTCGGCCCCGACTCATAGCGACCCCTCCTTGGGTTTCCGAGGCAGTATCACTACGGAAGTAGGATTGCCCAACCTTCCTTCCGAGGAGTGGCTGGTGGGTTTGAACCGCTACAATGGTCAGAAAGTCTTTCTAGTGCTTCTTCAAAATAACATGAGCTACCATTTATTCAGAGCCAATCATGTGCTAAAGCGCGTTTACGCCCCATTTGCTAGATGTGAAACTGAGGCTTAGAGAGAACAATCTAGTAAATGGCAGAGCTCAGGTCTGAACCTAAGTTTTCTGCCTCCAAAAACCAAACAGACCTTCTCTCTGGAAGGAGGACTGATGATTTCAGAGTTGACGGAACCCTACAGAACCTGAGTGGACTCCCTCCCTTTCCCCTCACTGTGGGAAGCCAGGCAAGACAGAAGCGATTCCAGATTCTGTCACTGCTAAACTGGGTCTGGAATTCAGGCCTCCATTAGCCAGGTCGGGGTCCCTTTGCACTAGGGTCTCATGCATACTACACTGGACGATCTGATACTAGCTATCATGATGGAGCACCTGCTGCATGCCAGTCACTGTGCCAAGCATTGTATGTATGTAAATATTTTACACCAGTGAACAAGGGAGGACTCATTTCTACCTTTTTACAGGTGAGGAAAATCAGGCTCTGAGAGGCTAGGGAATTAGTAAGATTAGGCTTGTGTTTTCTATGGGATTTTTTTCTAACTCTTCCCACCCACTACGCTTTACCTTCAGAAACAAGGGCCTTGCTCTGAATTTAAAGCATTTGCCTGCAGTATAGGTTTTGCTGAAAACCCTGAGAACTTGCCATGCCCTTTTTTGGTAACCCTCGAATTACTGAGAACTCAGGATCCAGCAGCGCAGTCCCTTAGGTTGTTTCTTTTGGCCCTCTTGAGCCACCTTCAGTTTCTGGGCCACAAAATCAGGTAGGAGTGGCTGGGCTCAAGGGAACATTAACACCAGCTCAATTGCAATGTAATAGAATCTTTAACATGATTTTAATCCTCCAGTGTGGCTTCTATAACACAGATAGCCAAGAGAGGTCCTTTGGAAGCAAGAGCCAGCACTGACATTTAAGAAGAGGGTCCAGTTTTCCCTCTGGTTCCCACTTGGCCATGGGAACCCTTCCTGCCCACCAGCACAGGATGTAGAATCACAAGTCCTTGTGATCCATCCATAGTCCATGGAGAAGTCCAGGGAGTTCAAATGTCCTGCCTCTCCAGACTCTATATGATGGTGAGATCCTGGATGTAATCACAGTGTGCCATGTGTACCTACAACTTGGATCTCCCTTCTTGCAGGTGGCTCCTCACACCTTAGGCTAGAGTACTTGGCAGTCTGCTCATCCCATTAGGGCCTAAGCCAGGCCCTGGTCCCATTTCTAATGCTGCAGGTTGCTGTGGGTTCCTCTGGTTTTGCCTTCCTGCTCCTCACATAGCTTCAATAAGTGTCACCTACTCCAGGGCTCTGCCTCACCCTTGTCTGAGCTCAGGGTGAGTAGCAGCTGTCAGTAGGAGGGCTGCTGTGTGGAGCTACACTCCAGACAAGAGGAGGGTGTAGTTCAGGGTTTGATAGAGGGTACAGGATTGCTGCCAGAGATTCTAGTCCAATCTGCATCTAGGTCTATTCATAGCTTGGGCCGTTTTCTATTGTAAATCATGTGAATGATTTACAATAGCTCCTAGGTAAATCATGCAAATCCGCTACAAAATGGAGTATTTGCCACAAATAATCTTTGACGGGGTGTTGGGGATGAGTGACGTACTGTTTGTGTAGTGCGAGATCCAGAAGTCCTTGAAAGCACTGTATTTATGTATGATACATTTTCATACAGGCCTTTCCATCCAAGAATCTCAGTGGCCTCCCTGAAAATCCTGAACTTGCAAATACTCATAAGAATCACCCAAGTTAACTGGTGGGAGGGGAGGTGGAGTAAGGCACAGGGAGGGGATGGAATGGGGGGGATGAAGAAGCTTCAAATTCCTTCTTGTACACTCAACTTGGGCTGCTCATTCAACCGTGGCAGCGGCCACCAATAGCTTGGAGCATGCCCCTTCCTTGCTTCAAGAGCTACTACCTACCTCACAGAGGGAACTGAGAAGGCCAATTTAATTTAATTGGTTATCACTTACAAAGCTGTGGTTACCCCTCTGAGAGGCCTATGTAAAATTTCTGAGCTACACAGAAATAGCAAAAAGTATAAAGCAAAGTATGATTATCAAATTCCTCTGGGAACATTCAATGTGAAAAAGATAGAAAAGAAAGACAGGAAGGTGTTAGTCTCTAAGCCTTACAGAGGTCAGGGGACTAGAGCAAGCTTTCTTTTTCAAAAGATTTTAGAAACAGAACTTGAGAAAATAGTTACAAACACACACATTTATGTGTGTTGTTGTTGTTGTTGTTATGTGCCGTCGAGTCGGCCCTGACTCATAGCGACCCCTCCTTGGGTTTCCGAGGCAGTATCACTACGGAAGTAGG